ATGACGTCTAGTACATCCTGATGATTCTGGTGCTTTCCGGGTTGTTTAGATTTTTTCAGTTCAGAAAGGGATTGAACACCCAGGATAACTGGACATTTACCACCATGTCAAAAAGCATATGCATTATGCCCTTCAGAATATAGGATATACGACTGCATTTTTATTCAGTAAAAATCGTAATTCTCTGCTCAGAGCTATTCACACTAATCGATATCAACAACTTTGGAAAGTGAATATGCTTCAGATGAGAATGATCTATCTTATAAGGTCATACTCAGGACACTACAAACTGAGACTGGATTATTTATCAACATAGAACTTCGCACAAAAACACAACAAAACAAGTTACCATTCTTGATAAAAACGCGAATAGAAATAGAGAACATGAATTCATCCTTTTATTATTGATAATATTCCCTTCGGTTCTGAATGGAATATAGGACTTCAGCACCACATTATTATTTCATTCTCTTCTCTGCAGTCCTTTTCATCAATCTCCAAGCTTACGCATTAGCTTTCATCTTTTCCTTATACTATCTCTTCCATGTCACCCGTAGACCCACCCTCAACCCACTATCTGTCATTTGGGTTCCACTTCAACATCTTGCACGTGATATCATCCGAAGATCTCCTCAATGAGTGTCCAGTCAACCTCTCACTCCCTTGGTAACCAACCTTATTACTTTCATTACACTGATTAGTCATACATACTAGTGAGCTCAACTCAATGTGATGAACTTTAACCTTGTTGAGTTGCGATGTTGCCGTACAAGCTAACACTGTTTATTAGATTTTTGTTTTCTGTCTTCTCTCAACCCCCCACCTTTCTTTCATAGTTTGATGGCATTTGAACATTGATGTTAACTTAAACTAAAAATAATTGTAATACTTATATTCCGGATGACTTCATCTTATAATGTTTTCTCTATTACCTTTTAAACATTGAAGTATGAAATGTTATTATTTATAAGTATTGTAATTTCAGGTATTTTGTAGCCAATGAGAACCTGTGAAATAGAATGATAACATTTTATATGATATTTTTCAATGTAAGGCATAACTTAACAGTCTAGTAGTAGGAATTTCATTAACAGTAATCGGTCAGCAATATCAACATGTCACGTGGAGTTGACAATTGACTAAGAGAATTAGGGCAACAATATAAGAGGAAATACATTTACATGTCATAAGGTTACATAATGCATAATCGACATTGTTGAAGAAATAAGAATGGTGGATTAGTGATCATTTTATGAACGTCACTTATGTTAGAACACCAAAGGATGAAGAAGACAAACATAATAAGTTAGCTCAAATGATACTATTTAAATAGGCACGACAGACCTTCATCACTCTGAAATCAGTTTGGAAGTTTTCTGCATTCAGTATACAGAATATGTCCTTCTAAATGGATCAACAATTTGACCCATGCTCCACGAAAAGTATTTGCAACAGGCTACTGTAGGCTTTTATCAAGAGCTACCTTCGCCGCCTCCATACTAAAGACCAAATGAACAGTTTTAGCAGAATAAAATGGTACCATCTTTTATTTCGTTGCCTTCTCGTCAGCTGCTTACAGGGCAAAGACATTATTAAATATATCTATTAATATATATCCTTAAGTTTGCTGAAGCCGTTTCCATCAAGCGCCTGAAACCTGATTTACGCGTCCAGAAAGAAGCGGTTATCAGTCTTTCTTTGCCCTGATAACTGGATATTTTTCATCCGAATGCGAGATGCTGAAAAGGTTTCATTGTGTATGATTATTATTGCTCGGAATTGTGTTTAATATTGCATATATATATGTATATATTATTAGTGTATGTGTATATTGACCGATTGATTTCTGGTTAAAATAAACTCTGTGTAGATATATTTAGTAATGTCTTTAGCCTGTAAGCAGCTGACGAGAAGGCAACGAAATAAAAGATGGTACCACTTTATTGTGCTAAAACTGTAGTTCTTGCTTTGTTCAAAAATCACAGTATTTCAGTACTTTACAATAGATTAAAAGTCAATTAGACGACTCATCCACAGAAAGCCTAAACGCTACAGGCATCTCATGAACTTATATAATTGTGGGCCATTACATACAAAATGAAACTCGATTCTCTCAGTTATTCATAGAATCCGAAGATTAGCTGAGCGCCTTAAAGAAGAAGGATTCTTATTGAAAATGGTTACTCCAAACGCACGGACTCATCTGCAGAAATACTAAAGAACATTTATCCCTATTATTGAAGGAAACCTCCTTCTCTCTTCAAAAAAAACAATGATTTGAAAGAGTAAGTAGGATAAGTTACCACATCTAGCCTCATCAATCTGTATCTATAAAATTCACCTGCTCCTATGAGGCAAAGTAGGTCGGTTACACTATGCGTTTTCCAACCAAAAATACCATCGAGCATTTCCCTTCATTTTCTGTAACATCTAACTGATTCTGGACACCAAGTGAACTGACAAACTAAATTCAGAGTCATCTATAGAGTACGTGGGAACATTGGGAAAGGTGTATGAATTCAACTTTCTGAAGTCACACAGAAGCCATGGTAATATATGTGCTTATGTTGAAACTCTGAATAATGAAGAAATTTGTCCAGTCAATGAACTTACTACTTACCTAATTCTATCTCATCAAGTAGAACCAGAAATCAGTATAAAATAATCTATGCTCGTACAACCAAGTACAAGAACTCAACGATACCATACTTGGCCCGTGTTCTAAGTGACAGAGACAATGTTAAGCACGAAACCTATGACCTGCTTTATTGTTATTAATCATAATTTTAGGCTCTTTAACTTCTCTCATATTTGTGTTCTATAGTTAAATCCTTCTTAAACATACTTAGCTACCTAAATTATTAACATTGGCTCCCTTTTTGTACTTTGCTGTATTCCTTCTTTTGTGTATCTACTGGTTCCGACTCTATTAGCACTATGAGTAGTACAAAATTTTCCTGTCATTAACCATCATATAATTATTGGTTTTTGTGGTTGTTGTTGTTTTTTGTTCGGCAATATTAACTGACAATCATTGGTTGTGAACGCCTTTGTCACCACCTTAAAATTTTGTATTATGCAGGATTACTCACACTACCACTACAAACACTGCATTAGACCTGACAATAAAAAACAAAACAACAACCCTGAAATGTTATTTTATGATTGTTTAGAGTTGTTTCAACCAAATTAACTGATCATCTTGGCGATAAACATTCTAAAATATCATTTCATAACTTCTTGTATGACTACAGCTTTACTGTCACCATGCATAATCATATCATAGCTTCCACTGCCCAATACTGAGATATTATTATATGATGTTTATTTTCCTTTCTACTTCTTGATATTTTTTGCATTTAAAAAAAATTATTTTGTGTTTTCCCTGTTTGTTTGTTCTTTGCTGTTGTTGTCTTTATATTTATTTTCTTTGAAATACTCCTTTTAGACGTTGGGTGAAATTAGATGCAAATATTGTAGATATGTGCTGAAAATTCCACACTGTATCTATAGTACTGTTTCTGGAATAAAGCAAATTATTACTATTATTATTATCATATAACCATTTAAGCAGCAATTTTTCTCTCTCTTTCTTTTCCCACTACTATACTACTTCCCTTTAGGACAGTGTGGTCTTGAGTTGACTTTCTTTCAATTTTACCTAAAACCTACTCAATCCTGTCAATTATGTCAAGTCACTGGAATTTTCCATCAGCCCTATAACACACGATTTCTTTTAAAATCTATTAATTGTTACCTATATCTTAAAACTTTAATGAAACACCTTTGAAAAAATGCACTTGGTTGCTTCGAGAATGAAGTCGCACAAATGAGCAACTCTTCTCTGAATAACTCTTAATGAGGATTTTCAAACTACACTCCGAAACAAGGACATTTTGACGATATCTGAGGATCAACATGGTGTTATTCGGTGGATGTGGTGACTATCAGTAGAATCCTATTTGAGACTCACCAACTAGACATACACGAAATCCTCAGAGAGTGATAGCGTTCCAAAATGCTATTTGAAGTGATGGGTACCGGAAATTAAAGTCTTAGTGGGAACACCATCACTCACTACTGAGGAGGATTGCAGGTCAGTCGGTCGGTTTTCGACATAGAACTTTGCACATATGTGCGGCAGTTCAAGTCGCAACACTCCCTCCATTTAGCACACAAAGCAAGAGAAGAAAGTAGGAGAAATGCATAATAGAGACAGTAAACAGAGGTGTGAGACAAAGGAATAGTAATAACGAAGAACAATATGGTTTCTCTGGAAATCATAAATCACAAGTAGTGGATGCATCTGCACCAGCCATTGAGAACGATTTTGAGCCATGTCACCAATTGTTTCTAGCCATTGGTTTTTACCGTCCCGAGGACCCCAACCAGTCAGGAAGTCTACACCTTCTTACGTGGCTTGCTTAAACTAACTGTTGTGGATTTCATTGACTGGTGCCATGTTTTGGTTTGACCACCACTGGTTAACTCTTTTCCAGCCTGACCCTATATCAGCTTACATTGCCCATTGTCGAGGAAGGCGATGACTATGCATACGTAACACATGTCCTGACCATCTCAGTCGATGTAATTTCACAGTCTCGTCAACTGATTTCCCCGCCTTACCTACCTAGAACTCGACTGATGCCTTACCTCAATATTGCTCACCTTGATATACCACTTCACACGGGAGATAGAACGCAGGCACCTATGATCGAAGGTGTCGGTGAAGTCCAATCCTGCAGCATCATCTTACATTTTACAGGGGCGAATCGCATGCCAAACATACGAAGATTGTTGTTCAAGGTGTTCAGTAGACTCACGATTGCAGGTACATCCAGTTAACGAGTCTAAAACAGGACAAAATGCGAATTCTACACGAGTCCCACCACCAATCATCCACCAAACGACATCATACTGTTTTACTCAACACGGAGTGTCATCAATATGTATTGATGTTGTAACTGGTGAACTTCAAAAGCAGATCAAAAACAAAGCAGTAGTAAGCACAATAATTCTCTTATTCACTGATTTTCAATATATATATATTCAATCTCTTACAGTAGAAAAAGGTAACTCTATGAATCTCTATGATAGATAATAACAATCACAATCATAAATACACAAGTACACGCACACACACACACACACACCAGAAATGGCAAAGAGCATTTAAAGGTAAGCAAACATGTGACAATTTATCTAAACACACACACGCACACACGCGAACATCGTTCAACTCGAACATTGAACCCTATGTGCAGCAAACATTGTACATTGAAAAAAATTAACCCGCTACATTCAAAACAATAATAAATAAACAATGCATAAGGAAACAACAAGGTGATGATGATGACATTATCAAGGTTGTTTTACGATGCTGGGGTTACAACAATGACTGCAGTTCTATCAACACACACATACACACAAACAGACACAAAATGACCAACAGCATAACCCTTAGTACAAAAAAGCATAGAAGATATAATGTTAAACAAAAATTTCGTGATTTAAACAAAATTGTCTAGCTATTTAGACAATAAGAAACATCATATAATTAAATATAGAAAAATAGTTGAAATGTTTTGACGAGAAAAAGAAATAGTACGACAAATAGTAACAGTAACAGTAATAATAATTACACAAGCGATAGGTGCATGCTGTAGACAACGAATGATGAAACACATAATATGTAGTCAATGTTCAATGCTAATTGGACACTTGACAAACATCGCTCTTATTTTATTTTAAAAAAGAGGGTAAACGCGCATAGACATCAAGGAGAGAGAGCGGTAGAGATAGACAGACAGACAGACAAACACACAGACAGAGGATAATAGACTATGCAGAAGTATATACTTCAGTATCAACAACAAAAGTGGCAAGTACTACAATACATTTGGTTATTTGACTTGATTAGGCAAGTAAAAGGCAATAATCGATTTGTCGAAGTGTTGCTGTGGGTAAGGCGCGGATACAAAAGAGAATATGCGTTGAAGAAGAAGAGAAAGGATATACGAAGGAGAGAAACGATAACAAATGAGAAGAAGAAGACGAAGACGTCGAAGAGGTAGGCAAATATTCACAGAATTTCTGAATATATATCAGACATTAATCACAGCAAAAGAGAATAAATCCACATTTTTGTGCGATGGATAGAACTAGAAACGCCGATGATAGAAATAGTAATAATGAATAATATACAAAGGGAAAAAATTAAAAGACAGATAGAAAGGCATGACAGAAATACACGACCGGTTCAGTACTGACAAGGACAGGAGTGTTATCTATCCACGTTGAAGATTATGATCACCTCCAAAATCGACTTGATTATCTGGATGATTCTCGTGTACACAACTGGTGACAGAAAATGCACTAGGCCGACGAGATGCAGTGACGCGTTGATGTATATTCAATAGGACTGGAGCAACAAATTGTGGATTTACCAATAATTCATTGTCTACATTGAAATATGATCTTTCAAGGCATGAATTTCTACGCAGATCTTGTCGACTAAGTATTTGCATAGAACTAGGACCACTGGTTAAATCGATATTTGTCGGTTGTTGTTGTTGTTGTTGTACTTCAGCGTCTAATCGTGATGTAATCTGATCAAAAGCATGCACACCGACACGTATTGATGCATCATTATGATCTGTGATAGAGTTTTGATCATCCATCTAGAACGAAGCATTGAAAGGTGTCACAAGGTCAAAACAATTATCTATAGATATTATCAAACAATAGGAAATATGCATAAATACGTCTAATTACGAAATATGTACAATTTGTTCTTAAAAATACTACGTGAAAGGTCTGAGTTAGATTCCCGACAGAGACAGAAGCAGTGATGCAAAGGCTCGAGAACATAATTCTACCAAAGATCAAACCTAAGATTTGGATACGTTACGTAGACGACACATTTGTAATTATCAAAAGAAACGAGTTAGATAAAGCTCACAACTTAATAAACAACGTCTTCAACGACATCAAATTCACAAGAGAAGAGGAATCAGAAAACCAAATCCCATTTTTGGACGTCTCAGTCAAGCAAACAGCCACAGGGGAATTAGAAACTCAAGTTTATGGAAAATCAACTCACACAGACCAAATCCTGAATTACAATAGCAACAATCCAATAGCACACACAAGGAATTGCATACAAACACTATTCAAGAGAGCCAGGACTCATTGCAGCACTCCCACCTCAAGGAAAATTGAAGAAAAATATCTCATGGACGTCTTCCAAAAGAATGGATATCCACGAAATTTCATCAAAAGACATATACCCCAAGTCAACCTATCAAAACAAAAGCCCCCAAGGAAAGCACAAAGAAAATCGCCTTACCATATATAAAGGACATCTCAGAAATCACTACAAGACTCTTCAAACCTTTAGGAATTGACGTTGTACACAAACCAACAAAGTCACTTTACTCAATTCTATGTCAACCAAAAGACTCAACAGCAAAAGTAGATAAAACCAACATCATCTACAAAATAAATTGTATCAACTGCTAAAAACACTACATTGGCCAAAGTGGACGTCTCCTTCGTCTGCGTATCCATGATCATAAGCTAACCGTCAAAAGACATGACATAAACTCCATCACTCATATCACTACATACAGACAACTATGGACATCAATTCGACTGGGACAACCAACGTTCAAATACTAGACAGAGGAAACAACAAAATGCTAGAGAATTTTTAGAAGCTTGGCATTCCAGTGAATCATAAATCAACAGACACATCGAGGTAGACAAAATTTATCAACCGATAAGAAAGAAACTTCACACATAAAGGGTCAAAGTTCAAGTCAAAGAAACAATGAGTGACAATACAAGTAACCTAGAAGGCGTGAAAACACACAAAAACAATCAATCGCGTCCAAGGTCGCCAGAAGAGATGATTAATAAACTCGTGGAGAAATCTAAAAGCTCACTTCAAATTGAATTATGCGCTTCGCAAATTAACTATGCAGCTCAGAGAACCCAACCACATCAAAATCATCCACCTGAGCTACAAATCTTCTCTATGATATCTAGAGACAATCCCAAACTTCGCCTATTTTACTACTCAATAATGTTGTGAGTGGAGCCAGACACCCCATCCCTGAAATACAACACCGTGATTGCTGCAACTTCAAAGATCAAAGGACTTTGTCCCACTTGGAAGGCGAGCAATGAAGAAAGGTTGCGTAGTTTCATCTACACTTACGAATGCATACACCTAAAAGACACCATATTCATCTACTAGCAAAACAGGATATACTACTGATTAGTATGTGAGTAGTTTCCAACCACTCACGCTACAACACAGAAGTGTTTGCCAGTCAGATAACCAGATTGACTCAGCTGACACATTCGAATACGTTGGAACCAACAAATTCTGGCTAATTATTTCTTGGTCAAACTATCTATCAGTGCATAGAATCACAAATTTCCAGTTGACAAAAAAGTCTGGATCAGTGAGGTATGTGAACGTGTGATTAGTAGGCAACCACCAGACGGGTCACTGCTGGTGTGGTGCGATCAGTAGTAAAAACAGTTATTTGGTATAAAACAACTGTGTGAAATTGAAACTATTTACAATATTATTATTATTGTTTCCTTTAATTCCTAGAGGAACATAGGGCTTCAACCGTGCGTCTCCATTGCATTCGGTTCTCTGCTAGAGTTTTCACCTGCCTCCATGTCTGCCCACACGTTTTCATCGCCTCTTCACATGACCTCCTCCAACTCACCCACCCTCGCACTGACGACCAACTCGCCGCTTCCCAATCAGTCGGGTTCCACTCGAGCAATCACTTGTCTAGTGATGTCACTTGATGGTTTGTTTCCTCAGAGTATGGCCAGCCAATCCATCTCCATTTCCTCCTGCATATTTGTTTCACAATCGGTTCCTGCTGGGTGGGTTCGCTCATTGCCAGAGATCTCTGTTGCTGATCTTTTCTGGCCGGCCATCTGATCTGGAGTGGTATTGAGCGAAGACAACTGTTAATGAAGGTTTGTAGTTTGTTTGAGATGCTCTTTATGACGCGCTGGCCAAGTCTCTGATCCGTGTAGCAGCACTGACTTCATGTGCTGTTTGTGATCTCCCATATTTACAAAAACATCTTTTTTTATATCCCACTATTTTTCCTCCCGCACATCTCTACTTACTCATACAAATTCTGTGACAAAAGATTCGTTGGCCCAAATGTTTTACATAAATACATCAATTCAAGTGACCAGACACCGATATGGCACACATATTTTCAGGGACAAAAGGAAGACAAAGTGTAAAAATATACTTCTGCACAAATGTAACGACTTGTTGTGAGCCATTTCACAAAACCTTTCGAAAATCCCTCCCTACACGACTCAAGCTTTTCTTCTTCAACGACTTCATGTCATTTCTTAGTCTTAAAACTACTGGTTTTTCTTCAGTAAAACACTTATTCGGCTAACACCGTCATGTGAAGAATGTGACATCTCTGCATGCCTAACACAAATCCCAGCCGCCTCAACTTCTAAAGCTTCATTCACTCTGAACTCAATTATTGCTTATCATTTTGCTTCATCCAATAAGAGCAAGTGAACGGTGATACATTACAAGATTGGCAGGAGCCTGTACCTGCACTCACTCTTGCGGGTGAATCGCTGGAAGTTGTTGATAAGTTTGTGTATCTGGGTAGTTGTGTGAGTGCTGGCGGAGGGGTGACGGATGAGATTTCCAACCGTATAATGAAGGCTAGGGTGGCATACATCAACTTGAGCCACCTCTGGCGCCATCGCGACGTTAGCCTGACTGTCAAAGGTCGGGTATACAGTGCTTCGGTGCGGGCTGTCTTGCTCTACGCCTTTGAGACCTAGCCTCTTCAAGCTGAGGATGTGAGGCGACTCTGCATGTTCAATCATCGCTGTCTCCGCAGGATTGCTTGCGTTCGATGGCATCATCGCGTGAGTCATTCTGGGGTTCGGTGGCGTGTGTTTGAACGCAGTGGAGATCACCATTCATTGAGTGTCGTCATCTAGAAACACCAGCTCCGGTGGCTTGGACATGTACTGCGAATGTCATCCCAGAGGCTTCCGTACAGGTCTGTGTTCGCTATCCAGCCCTGGGACGGGATGGAAAAGGCGGAGGCGTGGTCAGTCCATGACGTGGCGTCGTGGGATGAAGGATTTTTGTGTTAGATTAGCATCACAACTCCCTGGTTGGGGTCCGCGAGAGAGCTCGAATCGATGGCTCGAAACGTTATCGGATATGGCCAAGAATCGTAATCAATGGCGAACGTGTTGCAATTTCTTTCTTTCTTCCCTGCCTGATGATAGTTAACGAATACTGTTTGGACTTGTTAAACATGACTGTTTTCCTTCCAGATGAAGTTCTCTATCCGTTTTCTACTTTTATGTTTTACTTTTGATCTATGTTGTTTTATTATTATTGTGTGGCGCATCTTTCTTGGTGCCATATTGTACCAAGTTTTTTCTGCGTTTAAATAAATTTTAAAAAATCGCCCCATACCCTCTAGTTTCAGTGGACATATCTTACAGCAGTAGAGTAGAGCAGAGTGGATTGTGGTACGGTACACACATGCACACACATACACAAATCTATGCAAGCCAACGAACAGATATCTAAGTTACAAGTAGATTGACATAATTACCCTAGAAAGCTGTCAATTTTTTGGGCTTCCAGTAAATCTGTTTACAATATTTACCAAAAAAAAGAAAAAAAGAAATACTCCAAAATATATATATGTATATACATAACCTACTGTGTTCGGCATATGATTTTTGAATTGTTTCTTAGAATTCAAACTACTCGACCGCGTAAATTGACTCTGTTGATCATCGAATACATCTTCATTAACAGGTATATGATTTGCATGTCGTAGGAGATATTTACGCGCTGAAGTATTTCCAGCTAATACCCATCCAGTAATAATTGTAAATATTAATAATAATGCTGAGAATATCAATCCCAAAAGTGAACACAACACTAAAGCATGACTGACAGTATCTGCACGCAGTACAATAAACATGAATATATTCAATTGTAGTAGGAAAACAGACGCCAGCATACAACTGATTGCAAGCCAATGAATGTGTGAATCAATACGACTAGGTAGATAGGCATAGTACAGGTTATAACGTTCAACAAAATACTTCATGATTAGATATATTAAACCTAGAAAAAATATACAAAAGAAAATAGGTTTTGGATTAAATAGAGAATTTCAAGAGATACGGGGATATATTATATTATATTAGACAACCAAAAGATATTGAGTTACATATATAGAATAAAACGAAAGTATATGAGAAATCACGACACATTTTCAGGTAGAATGAAGTCTACCACCTTGTTAACTGGCTCTTTGATGATGATCGATAGAAAGTTCACAATGCAAGCAAGCTTCCCTGGTAGAATTCATCAGCTGGCATTAAAAGACTAAGGCTTAGGACTGGGAATTGGTTAGCCTCTAATATACAACCAATTCAAATCCACCTTTTTTACACCAAAAGTTAGAGACTGATTCTATAAAGGGTGTCAAGCTTCCTTAAGAGCCCTATACCGATATAGTTAAATGACTGTAAACTCAAGTTTCAATTGATGGGCCTTTGGGTTCGAAACCCACAAGAGATGTGCCATAAAGAATAACACAGAACTATATACAGTAACTGTAAAAAACTTCATCATCACAAAGAAGTTATCTCTTCAGTTTTAATAATCAACACAGTCGGCTGAAAGAAGAAGTACCTTTTCCACAGACAGCTGATTTACAATATAAATGTATTTTAGAATGATCCCTGAAAGAAAAATCGATGTGGGAAATTAGCGCAGAAGTTTTTTTATTTCTTCACGTTCCCAATGGAACATAGGGCTTCAGGCTAGAGGTTTGAAGTTTCTGTAGCAGTGTTCATTTTTTTACAGGATGGGGTTGCTAGCCACATGCCCAACCTTACCTCTTTACCAACTTCATTTCTAGCTTAACGAGGTAAAGGATTGAGTCGGCCGGGGATCGAACCCCGGACCACGTGCATGGTCGGCGAGAGTCCTAACCGCTGTGCCACCGACGCACAAAAGCCGGCAACACCCGGTATTTCCAGCCGCTCACCCATGCAGGTACTAACCGGGCCCAACGTTGCTTAACTTTGGTGTTCGGACTAGAACCGGTGCTTTCAACGTGGTATGGTCGCCGACAAAAGTAGCACAGAAGTAGATTAGACCAAGTTGCCACTATAGCAGAATCATTATTGACCTGGAAACCCAACCATGAAGAATTTATTCCCAAACTCAATAATTCTTTGGATACTTCACTTAACTTTGGAATTACTGCCGCTTTCTCCTCACCTGTATATCATAGTTCTAACATGTGCACATCTCCTTTTAACCTAAGCTTTATTATTTGACTGCGTTTTTGCTTAGTCCCTAACTTAAATGCTTTTCAAGTGTTGGTTTGCAGGGATTTGATTGGTTTCATGATTTCATCATAAATTGGCATCGCTTAGAGGATCACTGCAAAGTCTGGGAGTACTGGACGGGTGTTTCGTCTTAGATTGGGACTCTTCATCAGTACGCACCCAACACAAGGGTTCGAACCCAGGGCCTTCTGGTTACAAGGTGAACTCGTAGACCATTAAGCCACTGGGACCTGATCCAATGGCCAGCCCGTGAATTCCAACTTCAGCCGATTCACGACCACTGGCGAATGTCATCGCTGACGAGTATTTGTCTTCACACTCGATCTGCTGTATCCTTCTGGTTACAACTGCCCACTAGAATCCAGGTAACTACCTATTTGAATACGGCCAGTCACTACCGAGCATCAGATTGATTGAATATCAATACCTCAGGGAGGTTTGTACCACTGAAGAGTCCCAAACTAAGATGAAACATATATGCAGTATTCCCAGGTTTTTCAATGGTCCTCTAACCGATGTCAGTTCATGTTGGTGGTGTTGATAATGGGTTGTTTTAACGACTGCGATTCTGGTGGAGTAGAGTCAAGATTACGTCATGGATTGACTGCTTCACTCAACACTATTTATGCATTTCAAATAGCCAAGTAAGTATGTGTACATAAGGTTCACAGATTACAAATCAACTAAGTTTAAAATATATCATACAACAATAATGTTTCACAAATGACTGTGATCGAAAACTTCTTCCTCCCACTTCATACCTCCCAATAATAACAACATTCATGTCTCATAGTCACAGTCATAGAGAGTGGAACACCATACACCTCTGTAAAGTAGTCGGTCGGTCGGTTTTCGACATAGAACTTTGCATCTATGTGCGGCAGTTCAAGTCGCCACACTCAGTCCAGTCAGCACACAAAGCAAGAGAAGAAAGTAGAAGTGCATAATAGAGACAGTAAACAGAGGTGTGAGACAAAGGAATAGTAATAAAGGAGAGCAAACCAGTTTAATTGGAAATCATAAGTCAAAAGGAGTGGATGCATCAGCGCCATTGAGAACGATTTTGAGCCATGTCACCAACTGTTTCCAACCATTGGTTTTTACCATCTTGAGGATGGCAACCAGGAAGTCTACACCTTCCTACGTGACTGGCTTAAACTAAGTGTTGTAGATTTCATTGACTGGTGATGTCATGTTTTGTTTTGACTACCGCTAGCTCTTTTCCAGCCTAACCCTATGTCAGCTAACATTGCCCGTCAGTCGAGGAAGGCGATGACTAGGCATACGTAACACATGTCCTAACCATCTCAGTCGATGTAATTTCACAGCTTCGTCTATTGATTTCCCTTCCCACTTTCCTAGCACTCGACGCCTAACCTCAATATTGCTCATTCTATTATACCACTTCACACGGGAGATAGAACGCAGACACCTATGATCGAAGACAGCTAATCTTTTCATGTCTTCCACTCTCAACGGCCAGGTCTCACAGCCATAAAGGAGGACGGAGCGGACTGTTGAGCAGTACACACCCCCTTTGGTCGATAGCCAGTCGGATATCACGTCTACGCCAGATACGGCGTAAACTGGCATATGCGAAACTAGCCCTCTGTATTCGTGCTGAGATTTTGTCGGAGATCAACCCGTTGGCACTGGATGATGGTACTTCCCAAGTAAGTGAAGCGGTCAACGTGCTCTACCACTTCACTTCCTATTTCTAATCTAGGGGTCAGTGAAGTCCAATCCTGGAGCATCATCTTACATTTTACAAGGGCGAATCGCATGGCAAACATACGAAGATTGTTGCTCAAGGTGTTCAGTAGACTCTGCATTTTGTCAGCGTCCTCGCCTAGAAAAACTATATCGTCCGCATATTCTATGTCGACGAGATTATTCTCTGGTAGCAAGTCAATCCCTGAGTCGCTGAAGTATGTCTGTAAAGTAGTTGGACAGTTGGACATTTTACTGGCATTACAGACTAATTACAGATTTATCAAGAGATCCAAAAAAGACGGAATTTACAATAGTCAACAACATAATCAATAAAAGTCATATGCTTCCTTGACTGAACATTACAAGCTGGGGTAGTGAGAGTGACCATTTCATGCGACTATACAGAATAGGCTAAATCAATACCAGAAGAAATGAAACTGTTTTTTTTCTTCACGTTCCCCAGTGGAACATAGGGCTTCAAGCTAGTGACTTGAAGTTTCTGTAGTAGTGTTATTTTACAGGATGGGGTTGCTAGCCTCATGCCCAACTTTCCCTCTTTACCAGCATTATTTCTGGCTCAGCGAGGTAAAGGAGTGCGTCGGCCGGGGATCGAACCCCGGACCATGTGCATGATCGGCGAGCGTCTTATCCGCTATACCACCGACGCAAGCGGAGTGCGTCGGCCGGGAATCGAACCCGGACCACCCGCATGGCATGCGAGCATCCTACCATTGAACCACCGACGAAAAAAGGCATTACAATCGCTTCGACCTAATCTTGTTGAATATGCATTCTCACCATACTATAAGCTTTTAAAATGAACTCAGTAATTAGAGGAAAAGAACTATATGAAACAGGCATATGTACAACAAAATCAACTGAGTAACGTAAAATAACAGATAAGAAGTAAGCATATCATTCACTAAAGTACCAAGAACGTCTTATTCATTGCAAACAGACAGCAGTTACTGGACAATTGAATATCAGGTAGTATTGGACAGATTTTTCTTCCTAATATAGGGGTCTTCAGAAGTGCGCAGCCACAAAGCTAGAGGAGATCGAGCCCACGACGTTCAGGTCACCACACACAAACGCATTACCATTGATCAGTAGAACCAACCAACCATGAATTCTAATTTTTGACACAGTTAGCTGATGTCATTGGAGAATATCTACCCCACAGTTGACTTGATGAAGGTGGGGGTTATACAATAGAGATTTCTTCTGCGCATTTCGCAGTGATTCTTCGTGATCGAGAACATTCCAAGCTGCCGGGAAAGTAAATCATGCGTACAGTGACGAAAACATTCGTCACATGTCTCTATCTGGTCACCTCAAGTAGCACTAAATAGAACATGTCAGGTAAATAACTATCGTTGTCCAAAATCAGAGTTCTATTATTATTATTTTTATAACCATTTCCCCATATTCCAAGGGAAATATATCGCTTCAGTAGCAAATATTCATCTCATCCTGTTCTCAGCAGACCGTTTCAGCTGCCTCTGAGATTGTCTGTAAGCTTTCATTTCCTACATACACACACGACATCCTCCATGTCACCCTCAGACCGACGTCCAACTCATCGTTTTTCCCATTTGGATTTCACTAGGGGGCCTGTTTTGCAGTCACTTAGTAGTATCATCAGAATGTGTACAATCCATCTCTATTTCCTTCAGGATATTTGTTGAGCAGCAGGTTCTTAGTTGATTCTTTTCCAGAGTCCTTTGTTATTTATCTTTTCTGGCCGACTGATCTTCAGCATAGATCAAAGGCAGCTGTTGATAACAGTCTGACGGCTGTTCAAAGTACTTTTAATGATATAACCCTTCTGCAGCATTAATAATAGCTATAATGCATTCTGCTCTTCCATTTAGTGAAAACTACATTTACCACTATGTAAAAGAAGACGATGTGAAAGGGGATAATATTTGGCATCAGCCAATACCATTCAACATGAAAGTTTATTTCGCATAGAGAAAACAGTTTACATACAATAGTTTTCAACCTACCGAATGGTGTAATCAATGGACAAAGTATACTGTAGGCGCATATCACTGCGAATACACATAAACTCCAAGCATAGAATAAGCCGAATTCAAATTCAAATTGACTAGCCTAGATAAAGAAAATACACACACAGGGTAGAAAATAAAGACGCGAATACACATACATCTAAGTGATACAGTAGATATGTGAAATAAAATAAGCAAATAATCTAAATACCGATTTTCGAAGAGAGAATATACAAGATAACAAAAGACAATGTGGAGAAATTCAACTGGAGGCTATTGAGTGAATGAAATTCTCCATTTGATAATATTAATGTCTTGAAAGTTAGATGGTTGGGTGTTATCGGTAGAATGACCTGGCCCACACTCTTCGGGTAAGGTGTATTTGAGTCTTCAAAGGAATTGACTAATACCTCGCCCCACCCCTCCCAAGAGACATGAACCCTCGTCATTCAGCGATGTAGTCAGAAATGTTACTACGGAGCTATTCAGGATCATGATCAACTTCACTGCAAAACTGTAATGAATATTCTGATTGTTTCAATCCTAATTTCTATCAGTCAAGTTTACAGTTCAGTTGGTACGCTGAGAGACTCGTTTAAGCGGTACACTTTGAAATAATATTAAGTGGTCGGAGAGGATCAGCAAGGAGCCTTGAACCTAGATTTCGTGCTTATTGACACTTATCAGCAACGTTTATCTGAAATGTTGATGAAATTGTTTGATGCCCCTCGAAAGTTCCGTAAATATGATAATATCCTGATTGGATACTATTTAGTAACGAATATCATGCATCTAGTCCTCAAGATCAGATGGCCGGAAAGAGTCACCAACAAGAAACTATGGGAACAAACAAAACAAGGACCAATCGCCGCCCAACAAATATGCAGGAGAAAGTGGAGATGGATTGGACACTCACTGGCTGAGGAGGCCACTCGCTGGGTGACATCGTGCGTCAGGCCAGTGCTCGAATGGAACCCGAAAGGGAAGCGGCAAGTGGGACGTCCAAGGGTGATATGGAGATCATGTGAAGAAGAGTTGAAACAGTGTGGACTAACATAGATGCAAGTGAAAAGTACAGCAGAAGACAGAAGCAAGTGGAGATGTGCAGCTGAAGTCCTATGCTCCACTAGGAACCCGAGGGAACAAGAACAACAACAACAAGTCCTTCGTTTAGTGCAGACTGAATTCTATCAGTCAAGCTTGTAATATGCGCATCATGGTAGGTGGCTCACCATCACAGTGCACTGAATTGTAGTTAAGTGGTCGGAGGCAATCGACAAGAAGCCTTGGACCTAGGTTTTGTGAGTGTTTGAACTCGTCATCAAGTGAACTAGTCACCACCTAGTGTCCTATCGATTTATCCACTACAGCTCTAGAGGAGGCCAATCGCCAGCCCAAATAATTCAGTGGTAATGCTTTGACTGCAGCACTACATAACCCGGGTCCGAATCCCTGAAAGGGCATCAGTTCCATCAAGACTGAAGATACACCCTGCTGAAAAGTGACAAAAACCACCGAACCTAGGTCTAAGCCTTCCTGCTTCCGACCATTTAACATTATATTTACGTTATATACAATTCTCTTTCTCACTTGATCAAATTCAACAAAGCGAAACCAGTAAACGAATTGAGCAGAGTAATACGATATCCTTTTTTTTCTTTCGTTACTGTGTATAACTGAAGCGGTAACTGTTAAATGATTAATGTTAAACTAGAAAACCCAATGCTATGGTGAATATTTTGATACTTTAGTTCTATAATATCACTTTATACCTTCTCTAACTTCTTTTAAATAATTTTATCGAATAAAGCTCTGTCCCGCTTGCCTTATTTTAGTCAGTTTCATTCCTCTACATTTGACGCTCGCCGACCATGCACATGGTCCCAGATTCGATCTCGGGTCGCTAAGCCAGGACTAAAAGCTAGCGAAGAGGAAAGGTTGGGCATGAGGCTGGCAACCCCATCCTGTAAAAATAAACATTGCTACAGAAACTTCAAGCCTTTAGCTTGAAGACCTATGTTCCACTGGGAACGTGAAGGAATAAAATAAAATTCCTCTACATGTGATGTTAGTTTTTCATACCTCTACCTTTTTTAGAATATCCAACTTTAAAATAAGAAAAGTTCTCAGCGTAACCTGAAGCCCTTGGGTGTAGTATTTGGCTGACTCTCTAGTGTATATTACTGAAGAGTACCAAAATAGAACTCCGCTAATCACCCTTTTACCCAGGTAGGTAAAAATCACCTACATCTCTACAAAAACAAGCTGATTCACATACCTTGTTATTTTATCATTATTGTTATTATTATTTGAAGCACCAACTTGATGCATTTAGGGCCATCAAGAGATGTACCACACGAAAACAATAAAACAGTAATATAATATAAAGCAAGTGAAGGAGAGAATGAATGAAGGACATCAATATTCATAACTTCATGTTACTTCCAGAAAGGGAAGTAAGAATGAAATTTCAGCATGTTCGCAGTTGGTTGCGATTCTTAACCATATCTCATAACGTTTCGAGCCTCCAATTCGAACCCCCCCCAACGAAGTGATGCTAACCTAGCATAAAAATGTCTTCTACCCCATGTTGCCATATCACCAACCGACCACCTCTCCGCTTTCTTTATCCAGTCCCAGAGGTAGTGCAAAAAGCAACCGCTAAAGAAACCTCTGGAATGATATTCGTAGCACATGTCTAAGCCACCGAAGTCCGTGTTTTAAGATGATTGTACTCAATGAAAGGTGACCTCCACTGAATTCCTTGTAATTTCATTCCTTCAACTCTTGTGCTATTTTAACAACAATAACATCTATGTTTAAGTTAATCCGTTATGGATTGTATGCAGTTATGACAAGATTGGTCATATTAATCTGTTCAAATTTCGCTGTTCTTCATTTGTCTGTCTGTCTGTCTGTTTTCAACATACAACTTTGCACCGATGTGCAGCAGTTCAAGTCGCCACAATCCCTCCATTTAGCACACAAAGCAAGAGAAGAAATGCAAAATAGAAACAATAAACAGGGATATCAGACAAAAGGAATAGTAATAACGAAGAACAGTATAGTTTTATTGGGTATTATAAGTCACAAGCAGTGGATGCATCTACACCAGCCATTGAAAACGATTTTGAGCCATATCCCCAATTGTCTCAAGCTTTCATTGGTGTTTACCGTCCTGAGGACCCCAATCAGGAAGTCAACACCTTCCTACGTGGCTTAGACTAACTGTTGTGGATTTCATTAACTGATACCATGTTTTCATTCGACTACCACTGGCTCTTTTCCAGCTTGACACTATGTCAGCTAACATTACACGTCAAGGAAGGCGATCGATGGATAGGCATATGTACCACATGTCCTAACCATCTCAGTCGATGTAGCACTCGATATTGCCAATATTGCTCACCTTACTATACCACTTTACGCGGGAGATAGAACGCAGGCATCTATGATCAAAGACAGCTAGCCGGCCTTTTCATGTCTTCCACTTCCAATAGCCAGGTCTCGCTGACAGGCATAAAGGAGGACGGAGCGGACTGATGAGCAGTACACACACCCTTCTTCATATATATATTCACAAATGATCAGTATAGTGCGCAACCAATAGCTGCTGCCTTCATGTGGTAATCGCGCTTGTCTATCGCAAGGATATAAAAAGCTACACAGGTTGATATACATGTTTGTGCAAATCCTATCATGCAAAAGAGGTTGCTTGAATAACAGTTAGACTAAAAGTGTAAGTTTTTCACAATGTGTTTACGGCCTAAGAGCAGTCATAGTTCTAGTGAATAAAGATGTTACAAAAGTAAGGCAGAGCTCTCCGATGACCACCAAGCAAGTCATGCTGCCTGTCCACTGTAAGAAGAGAGGTAAAAACAAGGTTGACTCCGACAATTGTACATACGAATTCACTAAATGAAGGTCTGAAACTGTATAGGAAAACAAATCCAAATTTCACTCCAAACAGATCGGCCTCATGCAGCTGTCCCTTGGACACTGTCACCACACCACAACTACTGCTCTTTTTGTTTCAGATTATTCTGAGAAGAAATCAATTCCCATGGTGTGGAGCTCCGGAAAGTAATAGCCACCCATAAACAACTTTAAACGCATCAAGCTTTTCTGGTCAGTAAAATAAGACGATAACATTACATATGACATACATGAATAGATAAAAAAGTATACCCTTTGTAGAGAAGCTATCATCTTCTTTTATTCCTTTAAGTTCACAGTGGAACATAGGGTTTCAAGCTGGAGCTTTGAAGTTTCGGTAGCAATGGTGTTTAGATTTTACGGGATGACGTTGCTAGCTTTACGCCCAACCATCTCCCTTTACCAGCCTAATTACTGGCTTAGTAAGGCAAAGGAGTGCGTCGAGAGGGGATCGAACCCCGAACCAAATGCGTGGTCGGCGAGCATTCTACTTTTGTACCACCGACGTACAAGAGTCATATGATGGGTCGGGGGTGGGTGCTTTGCGCTGTGGGTTGGCCACCCCTCCGCACACCTCTTGAAATGCCCCCATATGACCGGGCGTCTTACATAGCCTCTCCTGAGGAAGTCCTACTCACTGCCTCCACGTGGCGGAGGTGTTTTCCACCAAAGTGAGAGGGCGAAAGGGGATGCCCGGCGCTCTTCACCGGGTTGACTGTCCATTGGATGACAGTCTAGAGAAGATGGCTAAACCCTGATTCCAAACCTCCAACGACTGGCGTATGAAGCTCACTGGAGCTCACCGGCAGACGTATAGACAAAGGGCTTGTTGGATGTCCTGTTTGTCTGGCCTCATTCAAAAAGGCGTATGAACCGAACTCCGGTCACCGGCTGCCAATGGATAGTGGACTCCCTACTCCACTACTACTGCCTTGTAGGTCACGCTTGGTTGTGTAAAGGCTAGAGCTGCACTATCAAACAAAATGCCGAGCGATTCTGGGGACATCACTCGTACCAAATTCCCATGAAACTTCATGAACTCTCTTCGATGATTTGAGATGTTCATGCAGCCGGCTCATCCTCCCGTAGGAGATAGCCGAAGTAAAGTAAAGTAAGTATAAAATGTGTTGAAGTGTATATTTCCATCAAATATTCAGTAAGATGATTGAAATATATAGCGCAAAAGGGAACATACAATATATACAACAGGAGAAAGAAAAATTGAGCCCTACACTCACCTTTCGTACACCGCCTTTTTCAGCACCTGATTTAACACACATTAATCGACAGGCATAATTAATTAATTCAGAGAAACGAACTAATTCTAATGCTGTACCAATAAATGCTGCAGTGATAACATAATTCACGAAGAAAGCACCATTATCTGGCATAAAAACACATTCCCATTGAAAAGATTGTGGCCCCAATGGGATAAATGGACTTGTGGTATTTTCAAATTCAAGTGAAGAAGGCGTTGTAGTGGTAGTAATAGTAGGAGTAGTAGTAGTAGTAGTAGTAGCATTCATAGCAGCAATGGTAATAGTCGCAGTAGTGGTAGTAGTAGTAGTAGTAGCAGTAGTAGTAGTTGAATCCACTACAGTGGTATTATCATCATTCGATGGGACTAACGGTATGATACGCATTTCGGGAAAAAGCCATTGAAGTAGAGCAGGTATTCTGAGTGTGTATCAAAAAACAGAAAAACAAAAGTATAGTATAACAAACAAGAAAAGATTGATAGACAATAATGAAAATAAATATATATCTTAGTTAAGCTAGACTAAGCAATACAGAATACAAAAACAGAGTAAGTGGTGAAGGTAACCAACCAACTAACCGACAACAACACGCACCAATCACTACCAAAGGGGGTGAAAAATGAAGGAAGTCTCTTCTTTCACTTATCTAGACAGCACAGTGTCAACCTACAGGCGACACTACGGATGAGGATGTCAAAGTTCGGAATTCGAAAAGTACAACAACAGATTTTCATTATTCTAAAATCATTGTGTAAATCTGATGCAGTCAGCATAATGAACAATATTCGGATTTCTAGCATCAACAGCAGCAATATCCAGGGCCAATCACCATCAACGGAAGGGATTTGAAAGAGGTTACTTCATTCACTTATCTAGGGAGCATTGTCTCAACCACAGGAGGAACGGACGAGGATGTGAAATCGAGAATCGGGAAGGCGAGAAACACATTCATTAACCTGAAACCAATCTGGAAATCTTCGTCACTTAACCCAGCATCAACAGCAAAATTCGGATTTTCAATACAAACGTCAAGTCAGTTTCGCTTTACGAATCAGAAACTTGGCGGGTCACAAAGAATATTTCCAACAGCCTGTTGCACACCTTTATCAACAACTATCTTCGCTCCATACTGAAGATTAGATGGCCGGAATGAACCAGAACCAACAAGAAACAAACTATGGGAACAAACAAACGAAACAAGAGCCAATTGCCCAACAAATATGCAGGAGAAAGTGGAGATGGATTGGACACTCGCTGAGGAGGCCACTCGCTGGGTGATATCGCGCGTCAGGCCAACGCTCGAATGGAACCCGAAAGAGGAGCGGCGAGTGGGACATCAGTGCAAGGGTGACATGGAGGAGGTCGTGTGAAGAAGAGTTGAAACAGTATGGACTAACATGGATGCAAGTGGAAAGAACAGCAGAAGACAGAAACAAGTGGAGACGTGCAGTTGAAGCCCTATGTTCCACTAGGAACCCAAGGGAACAATAATACTAATAATAATAATAATAGAATCCATGTTAACTCAGTTCTCTCTTCTATATGGGTCAGAAACGTAGTGCGTCAAAAAAAGCGTTTCAAACAGCTTTTGTCGATAGCTGCTTTCGTTCCATACTGAAGATCAGGTGTGGCAAGCGCGAAAAGGATAAGGAACAAGAAAATTTAGAATGAATCAGTTAAAAACCTATCGCTGAACACAGATGCCGAAGAAAATGGAGATAAATTGGACAAACAGGGAGCAGACTGTTGGGTGACATAGCGCACCAGAGCTACGCATTACTGGAACCCAAAAGATAGGCGATGAGTTAGAGGAGGAGGGGGAGGAAATGTAAGTTCATGGTCAGTTGGGGAGCCAGCCAGCTGAAGAAGACTGCAGTGAACAGGAAAAAAAACTGAGGATATACTTTTGAACAAAGCAACAACTACAGTTTTAGCAGAATAAAATGGTACCATCTTTAATTTCGTCGCCTTCTCGTCAGCTGCTTACAGGGCAAAAACATTGTTAAATGTATCTACAAAAACAATTTGACATACTTGCACAGAGTTCATTTTAAACAGAAATCAATCGATCAATATACGAATACACTAATAATATGTACATATATGTAATATTGAACACAATTCCGAGCAACAATAATCATACAAAATGAAAACTTTTCAGCATCTCGCATTAGGATAAAAAATATCCAGTTACCAGGGCAAAGAAAGACTGATAACCGCTTCTTTCTGAACGCACAAATCAGGTTTTAGGCTCTTGATGGATATGGCTTCAGCAAACTTAAGGAGCATTGAACTCTTTTGCTTATTGATAATTTTGAACGACTTTTCGACGTCCACTTCATGACCCGTGTCAAGAAGAGGCCTGGTGATGGCACTGTTTAAAGCATTTGTTCCCTTTAGACGTAAGCTTTTTGGTACATGTTCAGAAAATCATAGATATGCCCTTCTTTCTGTTCTTCCAATGTAACTGCTCCCGCAGATACATGTAAATTTGTATATACAGTTGGAGTTAACATGAGAAGGATATCTATCGATTTTTGATTGCACCAGAGAGCAAGTTGTTCGAAAGACGGGAACGAGCTTAGCTGCAGGATAGGCTATGGCTGAAGCCTTTTCCATCAAGCGCCTGAAACCTGATTTGTGCGCTCAGAAAGAAGCAGTTATCAGTCTTTCTTTGCCCTGGTAACTGGATATTTTTCATCCCAATGCGAATCTTTCAGGTTGACTCTGACCGACTCACTTCCAACGGAGAACTTAATACAAAAAAGATCGATCCTTATGGCCTACTGGAGACCACGCATTTCGATCTAGCTTAATCAATCAAAGGGGAAATGCATATTAACCTGCAAACAAACATAAATTGATACCCTTTACACAAGAGACGACTCTTATGGTCCTTTAAAGCTCAGTGGATAGTGCTTTGGTGTTAGAAACGATGGATTCAGGGTTCGAGCCTCAGTGAGTAGACCATAATTCACTGGAAATGCAAGTATGTTCGGATGACGAGTCCAAAGTAGGACGAAATGTACCTCCAGCATTCCACCGCTAGTCGCCATCAATCACAACAACTTCGCAGAATGAAATAATATTCAACAACCACTTGTATTCCTCTATGCAACTGCCTATCAGCCAAATCTGATTGTCAAAAGCTCTTCAGATGGGACAAGCTTCGAACCTATGACCCAACGTTTGAAAGTCGAGCAACGTAAATAAGAAAAAGCCACAGCTCTAGGCATCACGAAGTATGCATGTTTCACAGGTCAAAAGAAATCTAACAGCCTATGATTTACCCACATCCACCGATAAGTGTCATCGCACCATTGCCAAATCTAAACTGACACAACATGTCAGAATTCCAAGAAATTATATATATTCAGACGCTGGGTTAACGGAAGTTTGCCTTATTTCAAAGTAGACTTTGTCAAGAAAAGAGATCGGTCAGTCACAATTATTCCATATGAGTTTGTTTATCAGATGTATCACACAATGAAACAGTATCATTTACTGGATGACACAGTTTCGAACAAAATTTATTACTGTTCACAATCATGTCATCAATTATAATCACACGACTTCGAAACTTGAGTTTTATAGTTTTCTTTCTTCTCTCCTATTTGTCGTCGTTGGGGTAGTAGAATTTTCCAGATATCGGGGACAGGTGATGAATCATTCCTATTACATGTATTTGCAGTTGATTCGATAAACAAAGCTTCTGTTATCAATCTCTCTCCATACCCTGTGACATTAGATTTTAAAACTGTCATCCTATCCCATCCTGTTGTATGGTTGTGTGTAACTGCATGTAGTGAGTGGAATAGCTGAAATACTCTCTAGATTTCTTATCTTATTTGGATCAAACAATCTAGATTTAGCTAGGTTTCTATGTTCGGCTAGTCTGACTGCCCCTGTTCTACTAGTTTGACCTATGTATTTGACCTAACAATCATTGCAGGCAGGGTATTAGATAAACTAAATTGTTTTGTTTTAAAGGCTCCATAGGTGTGATCCTTTAACCGACAAAGCTTGTTTCTAATTGAGTTTGTGGGTTTGAATGCCAGCCGCTTTTATTCCTGCCTTGTTAAGAATTCTGCGTAAGGCTCCCGAGGTTCCTTCCTTGTATGGGATTACTACTGATGATTTAGATTCCTTATTGTTGGTGTCGTCATTAATATTATTATTATTATTAATACTGTTTCACTGTGTGATATATCTAATAAACAAACTAATATGGAATTACTTACTACCACAGTGCCCAAGTTTCTCACATATATATCAGTCACAATTATCACTAGAAAATCAACCGTAATGCTCGCAAAACTACCTGAAATTCTCTGAAGCTTGCATATATATATATATATATAAGTGTGTACATATTTTCACCGTAGTGAAACAGTGAACAGCACACCAAACTTTGTCAGTCAATAAAAGAGACATCTCATTATTACACATAGAAAGTGTACAGTTAACAAGTACAGTAACAAGCATAGACGTAATGCATGTCATTATTTTGCAGTCAGTCATTGTGAACTAAATACAAAACATTAGGGCTTAGCTGACTGATTGACACCTGATATGATATACACGCGAGTGAATGATATCTATATACATACATATATAGATATACTACCCTGGTAGTTTATACATTAATTGTAGTATAGTATAGTATGCAATACAATTGGAAAAGCCAGAATAACCTAGAGATCCACACACACACCTCAAGACCTTATCAAAATCAAATGAATCCATATAAAAAAGGCAACGCATGAAAACAAGTGAATGCTTCTCTTTTTTCTCTCTTCAAGACACACGTACCATACACTAGATTAATTAATAATTGCCAATAATTATTAAACTAGGCAAAGAATGCTGACACTGTGTATTTGATTTTGATTTTTTTTTAATATTTCTGATTACAGCTTGATTCCACACCGTATTTCTTTTTGGTACAGGTATGGAATTTTCAGCATGTGATATCGGTAGCCCAAATTTTGCAGGCTGACCATAGATGATATCAGGTGTGCGTCTGTGGCAGGGGATCGAACCCCGGACCATGTTCATGGTCGGCGAGAGAGTCCTAACCACTGTGCCACCGACGCATTATTAAAAATAAACACAACATATCAGACAGGAGACTACCTGAAAATAGAATCTCTTATTACTGCAAATTGTAATCCTCTTAAGAAAGCATTATTGATTTAGGAAATAGCAACCATGAATGTTAGTTGACATAGGATCATGTTGGGAGAGTTAGTTACATGTGATGAAACCAAAAGGTGGCAATAATCTATGAAGTCGTTGACAATTGGTCTGAAACAGTTCTGTAGAAAGGTATAGACAGCCTGACGGGTGTTTCCGAGACGAGAGGAATCATTGGCTTGAGAAGATTGTTGATATGGCGCATAATCCTACTCAGTGGTA